TGATGGTTCAGTTAGGTGAATCACGATCTTGCCAACTAAAGTAAATTCTAGGTGGAAAAAGAAATGTTGATTTTGCTGTTTCTGACAAACTTAAATAAAGAGAAATTGTACGGGGTGCCTGGGTGGTTCAGTTGGTTAAGTATCTGAGTCTTGGTCTCACTCAGGTCTTAATCTCAGGGTGGTGAGTTCAAGCCTTGAATTGGGCTCCAGGCTGGGCATGAAGCCTACTTTAAAAAGGGCAGGGGGGAGGGGAAAGAAAAACTGTAATCGTAGGAATTTAAAATTCTCTATCATATTTAACAAAAAAATATACATTCTAAACATTTTTTATATTGGGGAGAATGGAGATGTCTAGATATGAAAAGAAATCACTAGGGGTACCTGGCTGGCTCAGTCAGTAGAGGTGGAGCATGGGACTCTTGATCTCAAGGTCATAAGTTCAAGCCCCATATTGGGTGTGGAGCCTATTTAATAAAAGTAAAAATTAAAAAAAAAAAAAAAGAAATCACTAAAAGAGCCTTCAGTCTTCCTCATTCATCCTAACTGTAATAAAGAGTTCCATGAAAATAATTTTTTACCACAACATGTATTAAGTTTCAGACGTCAGTAACTATAGAAAAAGCAAGGTTGATCTGTATGTTTCATAATCTATAACGTCAATTCTCTTTTCAAAAGGAAGGGGAAAAAAAAAAAGGAAGGAAAAAGGGCGCTTGGATGCCTGTCTGTTCAGTGTCTGCCTTTCGTTCAGGTCATGATGGCGGAATCCCATGATGGAACCCCACCCTACATCAGGCTCCCTGCTCAGCAGAGAGTCTGCTTCTCTATCTGTTCCTCACCCCCCTCTCTCCTTCTCAAATAAGACCTTAAAAAAATTTTTTTTTAATAAATAAAAGGAAAAATCTTCAATACTTCCTTCTCAACATTAGTTATGCCCTTTAAGGCCACCAGATTCTCATGATTCACATGAAGACTTTGTTAAAAAAAAAAATTATCAGTACTACCTGGAGACACAGATACCTGTGTGTTTCTAAATAACAGTAACTATGCCAGTACTATCTGAACAAAATTCAAAAGTGTTAAATGGCTCAAAAAAATACATCTACAAAGGGTGTACCTACCTAAAAAACAAACCAATCTAGTCTGAAAAAAAAAAAAAACTAAGACATGAATTTGCTTGAAGGACCCATAAAAATAATTTAAAATTATTTTTGAAATAGTAATAAGCAGATCCTTGAAAAATGAAGGCTAGCCCAGAAACACAAGAGATTTTTTTTTAAGTTTTCATCTTCTTACTGCTAAGTTGGTGATAGTAGGGGTAGTGTACCCACCTAGCATTTTTATTTTATTTAAGACTTATTTATTTGAGAGAGAGCGTGCATATATATGAGCAATAAAAGGGCAGAGGGGGAGGGAGAAGATCTCAAGCAACTCCCCACTGAGTGTGGAGCCAGACACAGGACTGGATCCCACCACCCTGATATCATAACCTAAGCAGAAACCAAGAGTCAAAGCTCAAATGACTGAGCTACCTCAGGTGCTCCCCACCTAGCATTTTTCTTTTTTATTAAAGATTTTATTTATTCATGAAAGATAGAGAGACACAGGCAGAGGGAAAAGCAGGCTCCGTGCAGGGAGGCCAACGTGGAATTCGATCCCGGGTCTCCAGGATCAGGCCCTGGGCTGAAGGTGGCGCTAAACTGCTGAGCCACCTGGGCTGCCCTCCCCACCTAGCATTTTTAAACATTTATGAACAGGAAAAGATCAAGGATCCGAGGGAATATTACTTCTGGAGCTCCCATCATCAAGTCACCATTCACAGAGAGATGCACATTTGAAGCTGAGGGCAAGCCCCCGACGGGGACTGAATTAGAACTTGCCTCATCTGGAAGAGAAGGAAAATAGGAGATGGAGAGCAGTCCCATCCTGGACCAAATTCCTTTAGCTCCTATAGAATTTCTACTCTACTCAATGAAGCTTCCACCAATGATGTGACTTAATTGAAGGTAACTTTGTAGTAACAGGTAAATCACTATAAAATGTTCCCCTCTCTTTACTTTGGTTAAAACAAACATGAAACTATTCCTTTTTTTTTTTTAAAGATGTCTTTATTCATGAGAGACAGAGAGAGAGAGAGAGAGAGAGACATAGGTAGAGGGAGAGAAGCAGGCTCCCCATAGGGAGCCCAATGCAGGACTCAGTCCAGGATCATGCCCTGAGTCAAAGGCAGACACTCAACCGCTGAGCCACCCAGGCATCTCTGAAACTATTCCTTAAAAGTACTTGTTACAGGGGATCCCTGGGTGGCGCAGCGGTTTAGTGCCTGCCTTTGGCCCAGGGCGCGATCCTGGAGACCCGGGATCGAGTCCCACATCAGGCTTTCTGTATGATGCCTGCTTCTCCCTCTGCCTGTGTCTCTGCCTCTCTCTGTCTCTATGAATAAATAAACAAAATCTTAAAAAAAAGTACTTGTTACAGATTTTTGCCAGGTTAAGAGAAAGAAAGGAAGGAGAAAGAAGGTAAAGATGGAGGATAATCAGGTGAGAGAGTGAAAAGCCACAGGTGAATATAAATTGTGACTGAATGTAAACCTGGTCTGAAAAGAGGAATCCTGGTTTCTAGTTCCAGTTCTGCCATTAGCCACCTAAACTTATGTAGACAATGAGTTTCTTCATAAAAAAATGAAGTGGCGGTAGGTAGGGGCTGCACTCAAGAACAAGAATACATCCTAGAACAAGATATCCCCAAGAGGATCCCTCATCTGAAGCTTCAGAGTTAAGAATGACAGTTGTACCCATGAATGGAGGGATAAAACCTCTTAAGTTGCCAAGGCAAAGGAAATTTCTGATCATTCTGCCTGGGAATAGAAGATTTCTTCAAAATTACTTGGGGCTCAGTCGGTTAAGCTTCCAACTTTTGATCTTAGCTCTGGTCTTGATCTCAAGGTCATGAGTTCAAGCCCTGAGCTGGGCTCTAGATGGAGCCTATGAACAAAAAACCAAAATTACACTACCTAGAGAATAGTAAAGAGGAAGAGTCCATAAAAGTTGCCAATTCAACACAAACTGAGCAAGGTTCTCAATACCAGTGCTAAGTTACTGTAGACTCAGAGATGAAGATCATGGTCTCTACCTTTAAAGTATTCGGAATCCAGTTAAGGTTTTAGTTAAGTGCTAAAAGAAAGATTGTGCCTCTGTGTCCCTTCCCAAGAATGTTATACAAAGAAGCAACTGACAGAGTAGATTGACATTCAGATCTCAATTAAGAAAAATGAGGCTTAGAGAAATTAACTTCCTGGTACCTATTTTCTGACTTCAAATCCAGTGCTCTGATACACATGATTAATGTGGCTGTATGAATGTAGTAATCTAGCCATATTAACTGAAATCCTATTAGTCTAGTCTATTAGACTAAAGAAAAAAATAATTATATCAAAATTTCTCCCTATTAATTTGCCTTGTAACTGTTCATAATTTGCAATCCATGTATGTGCATTTGTCTTCAGACTTAATACCTACTAACCTGTACTCCACTGTCCAAATCATCTCTATTCACAAGGGTGGCACACAGCAGGCATTCTGGGTACAGTGGTTGAATTAGTGATTTCCAAAGCTGCTTCCAGGTCTAAAATTGCCTGATGCCTGACATCAAAACATGACCAATAAACACCCAAAGCTCACAAATGTATAAACTTTGCTCATCTTGCATGCTTTTAAAATATTGCCACTATAAGCTTCAACTACATTTTTTGTGTATTTTTGCAACTATAGACACAAATGCAAATCTCACTACTATATATTTTGTCCTACTAGTAACACAAAATCAGGATTTCCTAATCTTGCTGTAAACGACTTTGTAAGTTTTTGTAAATTCACAGAAGCAGGAAAAACAAAGGATAAGACAGAAAAATAAATATTAGTCATAATGAGAAAATTGTGCCTGTGTCTACAAATATGCACAAGGATTGCATAATTCTCTAAAACTAGAGCTGCATAACTTGTTTCTTTCATTTCTATCAAGATCCCTAAGAAGGAAACAAAAACACAGAAGATCTGTGAAAGGGAGAGTTTATAAGTTGGGAATACTTTCCTATTTGACTAGAGATTAAAAGGGGGAAAAAAAGCGTATCAAGATATGACTCCAGGAAAATTGGCATTTCGTTAACGTGCAATAGGATGAGTATTTTGCTCCTATCAAAACCCTATTCCGAAATCTGCAACATCCAGCACCATAACTTAATTTCAAGAACAGCAGGTCGAAACTCAAATACAATGGCGTCAGAAATTAAAAAGAAATTGCTGAGGAAAGTGTAGGCCTCTCTGGCAGTAGAGAAGACGGATTTTCTAGATAAAGCGCCACAGCAATTTGGCTTTAAGGGCTTGGCTCACACTCTAAATTCCAAACTGACTGCATTTTAATAAAGGCCACTGAAACAGTTAAGCGCTATGAAACACAATCACTTCCAATTTCCAGAATTCCCAAGCCACTTGAATGGGTTTAGACTGCACGCAAATAGCCATCTCTGCAAAACGACTTCCTTTCTCTTTCAGCGCCACACCCGTACACATACACCGCCGCGCCCACCCCCGCTCCCCCAACCCTAATCCTCACAGGACAGTAAAAAATAAACGGAGAACCGGGCAGGCGGTCTACTTTTCCGGAGGAGGCAAAACTGCAGCTGTGGCAGGACCGGAATACGCGGAAACCAGGTGTGACTGGCAGGTATAGCCTCCGGCCCGCAAGGGGAACGGAGAGATTCGCTCCCCACAGAGTCGGCAACTTCTCCCACAGGCAACACTATGCAGACTCAGTTCCTCCACCCCCACCCCCACCCCCGGTGACAAATCAAAGCCGAGTCCTGACGGCGGCGGGAGCCCGCCCGCAGGCCGCCCTCAAGCCGCTCTCTCTCCGCCGGACCCCGGCCTCGACCTCCGCCCCGGCCCCGAGCCCGCCCCGAGCCCGCCCCGAGCCCGCCCCGAGCCCCGGCGCAGCCTGCGCTGTACCTGGCGAAGAAGTCGGCCAAGCCGCCGCTCCGTCGAGCCCGGGCCGAGGTCCCCGCGGCGCCCTGCTCCGCGGCGGGCGCGGGCGCGGGCACCGGCGGGCTGGCGGGGGGCAGGTGGTCGCGGCTCACCTCGAACGTGTTCCGAGAGTTCACGTGAACGTCCGAGACGCCGGGGCGAGGCTCAGCGCCGGCGCGCCCGCTAGCCCTCTCGGCGGCGGCGGACCGGCCCTCCTCGCAGCCCCCGGCGCGGGCTCCCCGCCGCTCCGAGTCCCCGCTGCTCCCGCCGTCGCCGCCCGCGCTGCCCTCCGAGCCGCCGCCCGCGCCCTGGGGCTTGTCGGCGTCCGCCGCCGCCAGGCAGCAGCTCCGCAGCGGGTCCTCCAGCGGCGCGGCCCAGTCGGACGGGCTGCCCGAGCCGTGCGCGCCCTCGTCGCCAGGCCCCTCCGGGCGGAGGCGGCGGTGGCTCGGGTCCCGGCCGCCAGCGCGGACTAGCCCGCGAGCCTCCTCCAGGTCCCGCGAGTCCTGGCCCGCCAGAAAGCCCGAGTCCCCGTTGGTCATGCCTCTGTGCCGCGGCGCGCGGACGTCCGCCAGCGCCGCGCCTCGGCGCTTGGAGCCCGAGTCCCGCGGGCAGGCGTCAGGGCGCGGGGCCGCCGGCGGCGGCGGGGCGCGGGGCTGGCCGGCGGGGAGTGGACAGGAGCACAGCGCCGACTCCAGCTGTCCCCCGCCGGCCGCCGCGAGATAGCGCCGGAGGAGCTGCTGAGGCGGCGTCTCCTCCTCCTCTTCCTCCTCTGCCGGCGGCTCCACAGCGCCGACGCCTCCGCCACAGCCGCCCGTGGCCCGGATCATCTTTCCGTCCTGGCCCACGGGCTCCAGCGCCGGCAGCGGGAGCAACTTAGGGTTTCTTCCCGAGCAGGCTCCGGCATCCTCCGGACCCACCATCTAGGGCCGGGCGAGCGACACCCGAGGAGGCGACGCCTAGAGTCCCCGGCACAGCCTTGGCCCCGCAGTAACCCTGGGGGCTGGGGCCGCGGCGACGGCCGCCGCAACGTTCCCAGACCCGCCCCTCCCACCCGGGGCTTCGGGCAGTTGCGGGAGGGCGGGCACGCGCAGGAGCTCGCGCACGCGCAAACGCTGGCCGGGTCCAACCCCGACCTGGAGATTCCGCGAACCATAGAGACGGGAGCTAGAGGGGCCGGCTCCCTAACCCTCCCGCGGCCAATCTGGGGTCCGCCGTCTGGACGATGGAGTCTGGTTGGCTCGCTCCGAGCGTGACCGTGCTTACAGAGGCGCCGGCTTGCCTCCCTTAGCAAAAAGTCGCTCGACGTACTTAATTTATGGGAGTAGAATACGGGATAGTAGATGTAAGCCCTTCCACCTCCAGTTGGTCACCAGTCGACTTTACGCTTTTTCATGCATCTTCTCCACCGCCATTGCCGCAATTTGGGGCTTCATCGTTTCATCCCAACACCCTCCCTTCCCCACGTCTTCCTCCACGATACTACCAAAGGAATCTTTTTTTATCTAGCACCATGTTTCATCACATCGCGCTTCCTAGAGATTTCTGTTATCACTTGAGGGGAAGAGTGGAGTCCTAGAGAGGCTGTGTGATAATGGATTAAAATGGGGTGGTAGCCATTGAGTGGAAATGAAAGGCTTTTAAAGTAGAAATCATAAGACGTGATAACTGGTCAGCTGTGAGAAGCGATTGAAGAGGGAGGAACTGGCAATTACTACAAAACTCTTGAGACCGAAACTAATGTGGTTTGAAGAAACAGATTTGGATCTGGGCGGAGTGGGGGGTGGGGGGACACTGATTAATAGGAGAAATATATCTGGTAAAGAAAAAGACTGGGAATATTCAGATATAGTTAGGGCTCTAAAACTTGGATTAGGGCTTAGATTTGGAGATACGGGTTGAACAGTCATCTGCATATTGCAACAAGGTGAGTCATTAGTGACTTTGGGAGGAAAGAAAAAAGAAGGAGGTGGGGCAGAGGCTCAAAGGTGTCATTATTTCAAGATGGGTAAAGAAGTTGTGTTGCAAAGGATTAAAGAGGAATTAGAAACAAAAATAAAATAAAGAGGAATTAGGGGTAGATAACATGAAGGGGAAAATATTGGCCACTCATTCTACAAGTATGTCAATGAAAGAAGACAAAAATAGGATGGGGTAGTAATGAGAGAAAGCAGCATTGCCAAACCTTTTTATTTTCTTCTTTTTTTTTCTTCTTATATATACAAGAGGGAATATAACCTATACATGAGTGACAGTAAAATATGTGAATAAAATGGACACCCATGTGCGCAGCACCCAGTTTAAGAAACATCAAATGTCTTTTATAATGAGCATATTTGAAGACCTTAAGGAAGGACTAAGTGGCAAGGGCACAGTTAGCAATATATTTATTGTCAAGATCTTTCAGAAGAAATGACTTGAAGGACAGAGGTAGAAAAATTAATATAGGGGGCAGCCCCGGTGGCTCAGCGGTTTAGCGCGGCCTTCAGCCCAGGGCGTGATCCTGGAGACCGGGGATCGAGTCCCACATCGGGCTCCCTGCATGGAGCCTGCCTCTCCCTCTGCCTCTGCCTGTGTCTCTGCTTCTCTCTCCTCTCTGTGTATTCTCATGAATAAATAAATAAAATCTTAAAGAAAAATTAATATAGTAAGAGAAAAAATATTTGTAAATCATACGTTAAGCATCTAGTATCCAGAATAAAGAATTTTTAAATTTTTAAAAAGATTATTTATTCATGATAGACAGAAAGGGAGAGGCAGAGACTCAGGCAGAGGGAGAAGCAGGCTCCATGTGGGGAGTCTGATGTGGGACTCGATCCTGGGACTCCAGAATCATGCCCTGGGCCCAAGGCAGGCGCCAAACCACTGAGCTACCCAGGGATCCCAAGAATTCTTTTTTTTATTTAAAGATTTTATTTCTCTGCCTCTCTCTGTGTCTCTTATGAATAAATAAGATCTTTAGGCAGAGACATAGGCAGAGGGATAAGCAGTTTCTTCGAAGGGAGCCGGATGTGGGACTCAATCCCGGGTCCCAGGATCACACGCTGAGCCAAAGGCAGATGCTCAAATGCTGAGCCACCCAGGCGTCCCTAAAGAACTCTTACAATTTAACAAGACAATCCAATTTTAAAGTGGGTAAAAGACTTGAACAGTCATTTCTCCAAAGAATATATGTTAATAGCTGTTGATAAGCATATAAAGTAGTGCTCAATATCATAAGTCAATAGGGAAATATAAATCAAAATCACAATGACATGGCACTCAAACTGAGTAGAATGGATATATTCAAAAAAGTGGAAAGTAAGTGTTGTAGAGGATGTGGAAAAAAGTACAACCCTCAAACATTGCCAGTAGAAATATAAATGGAATGGCTGCTATGGAAAATGTTTGGTGGTTCCTAATGAGGTTAAACATTGAATTACCATATGACCTAGCAATTCCACTCCTAGATATATACCCAAAAGAAAATAGATGTTCATACAAAAACTTATACATGAACATTCTTAGCAGCACAATTCATAAAAAAAAAAAGATAGGGACAATTCAAATGTCCATCGACAGAGGGATGAATAAACAGAATATGATATTTATACAATGGACTATTATTCAGCCATAAAAAGAAGTGAAGTACTGATATATGATACAAGTAGATGAATCTCAAAAACATTAAGTGGAAGAAACGGGACACAAAAGGTCCATATTGTATAATTCATTTGTATGAACTATCCAGAATAGGTAAATCCATAGGGAAAGAAAACAAGATTGGTGACTGCCAATGTCTCCTTGAGGGAGGGGGGGAAAGGATAGAAATAGGGTTAGACTACCTGAAGGATATGGGATGATGAAAAATGTTTTGCAAGGAGATACAGGTGGTGGTTGATGACATTGCGAATGAACTAAACAGCACTGGATTGTTCATTTTTAAATAGCTGTATTTTATGTAAATTTTCACCTCAATAAAAAAATTTCATTAATTTAGGAGATAACCTAGACATAATTATAGTTACAGAATGGTGAAGATAGCTGAGAGAGTCTAATCACAACCTTGTTTCATTTCAACTTTTTTTCTTTCCTTACTCTCCTAACTTCCTAACTTTTTTTTTACTTTTTTTTTTTTACTTCCTAACTTTTTAAGCCTTTTCTAACTTGTTAACTTACTACTTTCTAGGTACTGCTTTATTTCTCCCTCTATGAAACCACACTGCAATATTTTAAACTCCAGTTTCTCTAAATGGTTTATTTATTTCACCTCCTTCCTCTCCCCTGGTCAATAGCAACAAAAATTTTATGAACCATAATAACCCATGGGATGCTACTGTTTTCTCAGTGAAGACTTCAAACTGAAATACAATTATGTTTTGTAACTTTGTCTACAATAATATGTATTCCATAATAAATTGTAGTCATTCTTAGCAGTTAGTGGTTATATTTTCCACTTTCAATGGTAAGTTTCTGTCTTATCTGATAAGTAATATATACCATCTTGCAAATTTAAAAAAATCTCCTTTCAAGGTGTGGACTATCCTTTTTGTGGTCCTTAAGAATTTGACATTAAACATTTTTTTTTTTAGTTTTACTTATTTAAGTAATCTCTACACCAACTTGGAGCTTGATCTCATTACTCCAAGACTAAGAGTCATGTGCTCTTCCAACTGAGCCAGCCAGGTCCCCTGATATTAAAATCTTTTGGTACCATATTATATTACTACAACTGTAGGCATAAATAAAATATCCTGGTACATTCCTATAAATCAGGTGAAACTGTTATCATGAGAAAGGATATTCTTTTTAAAATTGTTTTAATTTAAATTCAATTAATTAACATACAATATTATTAGTTTCAGAGGTAGAATTCAGTGATTCATCAGTCTTACATAATACCCAGTGCTCATCACATAACGTCCTCTCCTTAATGTCCATCACCAGTTACCCCATCCAGTGACCACCATCCCCTCCAGCAACCTTCAGTTTGTTTCCTATGATTATGAGTCTCTTATGGTTTGTCTTCCTCTTTGATTTCATCTTGTTTTACTTTTCCCTCCCTTCCCCTATTTCCTCTGTTTTGTTTCTTAAATTCTACATATGAGTGAAATCTTATGATAATTGTGTTTCTCTGATTGACTTATTTCACTTAGCATAAACCCTCTAGTTCCATCCACATCATTGCAAATGGAAAGATTTTTTGATGGCTGAGTAATATTCCACTGTATATATATTACCATATCTTCTTTATCCATTCATCTGTCAATGGACATCTGGGCTCTTTCCATAGTTTGGTTATTATGGCTATTGCTGCTATAAACATTGGAGTGCAGGTGCCCCTTTGGATCACTTCATTTTTATCTTTGGGGTGAATACCTAGTAGTGCAATTACTGGGTTGTAGGGTAGCTCTATTTTCAACTTTTTTTTTAAAGATTTTATTTATTTATTCATAGACACAGAGAGAGAGGTAGAGACACAGGCAGAGGGAGAGGGAGAGGGAGAGGGAGAAGCAGGCTCCATGCAGGGAGCCCGACGTGGGACCCGATCCCAGGTCTCCAGGATCACACCCCAGGCTGCAGGCGGCGCCAAGCCACCGGGGCTGCCCGCTATTTTCAACTTTTTGAGAAACCTCCATACTGTTTTCCAGAGTGGCTGTACTGGCTTGCAGTCCCACCAACAGTATAAGAGGGCTCCCCTTTTTCTACACCCTTGCCAACTTCTACCATTTCCTGACTTGTTAATTTTAGCCATTCTGACTGGTGTGAGGTGGTATCTCATTGTGGTTTTGATATGTATTTCCCTCATGCCAAGTGATGTTGAACCTTTTTTCATGTGCCTGTTAGCCATCTGGATGTCTTCTTTGGAAAAGTGTCTATTCATGTCTTCTGCCCATTTTTTGATTGGATTGGTTCCCTGGAGAAAAAAAAATCCTTTTTAAAAAAGATTTTATTTATTTATTCATAAAAGACACACAGAGAGAAGCAGAGACATAGGCAGAGGGAGAAGCAGGCTCCCTGCGGGAAGCCCAATGTGGGACTCAGCCCCAGG